GTCGTCCATACTGAAGTCCCTCCATGCCGTTGTCGGCTCGAAGACCCCAGTCTCAATGGCGACCCGGACCTCACTAGGCCACGCACTGAAGGGAGGCGCGATGGGCTCGAGCATTCTGGTTTCGAGGGAGCCCTTCGCCTGTCTGGCTGGTGTTTCGCTTTTGCCTCCTCCGCAGTGGTCTGGGCCTGGAGGAGCTCCGGTGTGGGTCTCCCCCAGTCCGCACCCAGCTTGTCCAGCAGCTTCTCACGGAAGAGGTCCAAGTCCAGGTTCTTCAGGAGCAGGCCTCCATCACCTCCTCCGTCAATGGCCCCCCCTTGAAGTTCGTGGAGGACCGCCGCGGAGCGCTTCCACCTGGTCCGCCTTCTTGGCCTCCTCCTGGGCGATGGTGGTGGCGTTGAGCCGGGTCTGAATCTTGAAGGCCTTCACCGCAGACGGGTGGAAGGCTCTGCATTCCTGGCCCTCTTCCTTGTCGCCTGGCAATGGGGGCCTCCCCCCCGGTGGGGCCGTCAGAAACTCCTCGTCCAGCTCCATGGGGCAGTTCCTGATCACCGCCCGGACCGAGGAGGGGACGAAGTCCGAGAAGCTGGCCTGGTCCGGGTTCTCGCAGGCCATCGGGTCGGTGGCCAGCTCGCTGACGTCCACCGAGGCACTGAGCTTGAGGTCGCGGGCAGGGTCCGTGTCAGGGCCTTCGGCACCCGCGGACCGGGCCGCCGTGAAGACCGCATTGCCCTGGTCATCCACCGTCAACTGCCAATGCGTGCCCGCCATCTCCAGGGTGGCCGAGTTGGTCGCCGTGTCAATGGGCTCCGTCTTCTTGCCGCACCCCATGCACTTCGTGGCGCCCTTCTTCACCCAGGGCATGGTGCAGCAGGGGCAGATCCAGGATGTGGGCGGTTCTCCAGGCCCCCGTACCCCAAGCCAGCGCGCTTGCCAACCTGCTGTCCCGGGGTGCTGAGCCGGGCCTCATGCTCGTACTTCATCTTGGCGATGTAGAAGGCCTCCACAACGCGCTCCAGGCCCCCCTGCTTGAGTTGGGGGCCCTCAAAGCCTCGCAGGAGCCGCTGGACGTCCTTGGCCTGCCGTCGGCGGAGCCTAGTGGCCGTGGTCGCATCGAAGGAAGTCGCCCGCCATCTGGTCGTCGCTGAACTGGTAGAGGCCCTCCGAGACCTTGAGGGCCTTGGTGAACACGCTCCCCCCGGCGGGGGGGCTGCGGGGTTCTCATCCTCCTCCGAGGACGCCTGCTCCTTGACCTTCGCCATCAGCTCCCGGCGCCTCTGCCACTTGGCGTCTTCCCGGGCATCCAGGCGGGCCTCCTCCAAGCGGGCTGCAGCCGAGGGGGACCTGGGCATCGGCAGCTCCTTCTCGTCCTGCGCCGGAGCTCCTCCATGGGCACGTCCTCCTCCGGCGGGTTCAGGAGCTCCAGGAACGCCCCTGGGGGGCGTGTCAGGGCCTTCGGCACCTGCGCCACCCCAGGGGCTGCATCTTCCATCGGCTCATCCTCTGCCTTGCGCTTGGCCGGGTAAGGGGGGCCTGCTCCAGCTCATCTGCGCTGGAGAAGAAACGCTCATCAGGTGCCTGAGGGACCTCAGCAGCCAAAACGGTCCATCCTTCTTCCTCCCTCTTCACGAGGCTCGCCAGGTACTTTGCCATGGAGGCCTTTGCCTTAGCCTTGGCCTCTGCTACCGCGGCACCAGCGTAGGCGGGGGCGTACATGGCTTTGCGAGTAGGGGAAAGAAAGATTTCAAATCACAAGACAAAAGATCAAAAGGTCCACTTGAGCCAAAATGGTGGCCCAAGTGGATACTTATTAAGAGTCAAGACAAGCGACCACCTACGGTTAACGCTTTAGCCCAGCAGTGCCTCCTGGTGCCACGGGTTCTGCGACGCTCTGAGCATCTTGATGTAGGGGACATACTTCTCCCCACCGGGGGGATGTCGTCGGGGTCATCCAGCCAGGCCCCTCTCGAGGGCCTTCCTGAGATCATCCGGCCACGCCGACACTTCCAAGGGCTTGAGAGTGTGGTTGAGCATCCATGCCTGGTTGGTGTCCTGGATTCGCTTGTTTGGCGCCTGAGCCTCCTGAATGGAGCCCATCGCCTCAGCCAATGCCTGGCTGGCGTCAACGCCCTTCCCCTCCAAGTACTGCTCTCTCACCTTGGCCTTGAAACGCTCCAGGTTGACCTTCCTGAGGGCACGGGCTCCCTCGTTGGCCGCCTCATCTGACGGCAGCCTGTATGCCCTCCTGGAGGGGCGCCAGGATCGCCATCTCGTTGTCCAGCATCTCCTCAGTGACCAACTCCTTGTGCCGCCGCCTGGCCGAGGCCTCCTCCGGAGTCGGTTCCCGCTGCTCCCGCAAGGCCTTATGCAGCTCCTCCTTCTTCCTGATCGCCTGGTCCACCTGGGGATGGTAGAGCTCGAAGCTCTGAGCCTCCGCCTCCTTCAGGGACCGCTGCACTTTGACCTTGATCTCCTGGCTTTCCCGGACCTTCAACGCCTCGTCGTCCGCCTCCATGGACAGGATCTCCTGCCGGATGTCCACCCGCCTGTTAAGCGGGACCGCATCTGCCATGGTGATCTCATCCGACGAGTCCGTTTTTGGAGGGGCCCGTGCCGTCCACCAAGTTGCGGTCGGCCTGTGCCAGGGTACCACCGGGGCCAACGCCACCCAGGCTTCCCCATTCCCGCTGCTGGATCCAGGTCGGCTTGCCCTCCAAGATGAGCAGGTTGTAGGTGATGCCGTCCGCCTCATAGGTGGCCGAGGGTGCCTGGAAGGGGGCGAACTCCTTAGCACTGCTTGGCTGCCTCTGGCCACCCCGTTCCGCATGCCTTGCACATGAACTTGTAGTCGGAATGACCTGCGTCGAGCCTGTGTGGGTGCCGATACACGCCTTGTTCCTCTGGAACTGCGAAGCCCAGACCTCCTCCTGGCGGAGCTGGATCTTCATCGGGACGTACGCCTCCAAGATGCGGATCACCAGGTCCTCCGTGAGGTTCTTCCCAACAAACTTGTGAAACAGGGAGACCGCCTCCTCCATCGTGATGTCTCTCAGCAAGGTGGCCGCCGACGCTGGAAGGACTGGAAACAGGTCTGGGAGGTCCACCAGCTTGAAGTACCCGGGTTTTCCGTCCACCGGCACCAAGGTGACAGGTTTGTTGGCCTGAGACGTAGCCTTCTGAGAAGCCGCCACGAAGCCCTTCAGTCTCTTTGTGGGTGGCGTCTGCGCCTCCTCCGGTGGCCCGCTCCGTGCCGTCCGCATCCCCCATGTCCTTGTCGCCCTCCTCGGCGGGGCCAGGGGCACCCAAGCCGGGAGTCGGTGTGGCAAATGCCACTCGGAGACGCTCCAGTGCACTGGAGAGGTCCTTCATCACATCGGTCGCCCAAGCTGACGGGGGGGCCTCGGGCTCGTCCAAAACCAAGCACGCCTCCCGTGCGCGAATGTCCTGGGCCTCCTGGCTGGCCATTTCAACCTCCACGGTGAGTGTCTGGTCCTCAATCAACTCAAAGGAAGTTGCCGAGGTTGCCGAGGAAGCCATTGCTTGGTCGGGGTTAAGTTCGAAAATGCAAAAGATCAAAGTTTTTCAATCAGCTTGGGTTCCAGGAACCCAGAACAATGCTTGAGCCAAAATGGCACATGCCATTGTGGTCAAGCATTCCACACACAGTGCATGTTTCCACATGCGTTTCAACATTAACAAATTGTATATGTTAAACGCATTTGTTTGCAGAAAGCTGTCTCTTTTTTTCTGGACCCCGGAAACCCTACTGATCTAAACCCTACTCATCTACCCCCCGTTGAAGTTAGTGACAAAACCATAGACCACTACGGTGAGCAGGTACGTCAACATGTGAACCACTTGCTGCGCACTCACGCCATCCCGCTGGCCCTGCTACACATCTGTCCACCTAAAGCGCCTGTAGCGCACCGGGCTTAACCACAAGTCCCACTGCGCATCCTCACCCGGGCTTCGGTGAACTTTTTTGTAATCACATATTTTGAACTCCCGCCTGACTCACATCTGTGGGCCCCGGTGTTTGTTTTTTGAACTCATGCCCAGGCCGTGATTTAACAAAGAAAACAGTAAGACCACCAGGCGTGATTTCAAAAAGAACACACCGGGACCGTGGTGTGTTTCTTTAAAATCACCAGTCGCTCACTGACTTGCTGGCCCGCTTCCTGTGAAAGAACACACCAAAAAGAATCCAAAATAGGGAATGTCAAAATCACTCCGGGCGTGAATTCAAAAAACACCGGTTCCTCCGCACCTCCTCAAAACCACCGGCGATCCCACCTCCACGAAAAACCCCAAGACCACCTCCACGACCAAGTCGGCCATTGCAACCGCTCGAGAGTTAGCCAGCCCCGCCACCCCACAAGAACCTAGGTGGCTGGCCAAACCTCCTTATGTTGGTCATAGTCTTCAGTCGCACTTGGACGGAAGCAAAAACAGTGTACTTGGCGTGCTGCAATGGGAGCAAAAGTCGCTGACACCTACCGCAACTGTAGCCACAAAGATCGCAAACCGGTTCCTAAAGGTGCCACTCAGGGCTCCAAGCGTGAGCGTGGCATTTAACCAGAGAGAGGCGATCTGTCCACGACTTATGAATGAAGTTCCAGCACGTAAACTGTACTGCAGCGGTGCGAAGGGATTGTCGCATAGCGACACCGTCCAAAGCACGGCTGGAAGGATCCAAAACCACGTCAGTGTCAGGAGCAAAGCAAAAAGGGCACCTACGTACAAGGACTGTAGGGGTAGGAGTCTTGGAGACCTAGTCTCGTGGTAAAGGCATCAAAAAGAGATCCTGCAATCCGCTGTCATGATCAGGGTCCCATAAGGAACCCTGAAAAGGGTTGTCTAAAATCACGCATTTAGGGGCCCATCACCATCCCTAAACGCTGGGGGGTAGTTGGGCTCTTTAGCTCCTGGCTCTTTAGCGCTCCCCCAATCGTCTTTTACCCTTGGGGTGGCGACCGAAAGGAAGCCAGTCTGGCTTCCCCCGCCTTGCCGCCATCCTCCTCCAGCACTGCTCCCAGCGCCTCGAGCCCCGGACCCGCTCGCGGGTCGATCGGCAGCCTGTGCGACGGGATTTTGCGAGCCGCGGTTTGGGCTGGGATGTCTGGGTGTGGATTTGGCCAAAAGACTGGGTTTCGTCCGGTCAACAATGACCTTCCAAGCGCCACCTACAGGTCCCTTTTTTGGAGGGCAAATGTTTGACCTCAGTTGCTGGATTTGCCAACCCACAGCTTGCCCCGGCCTGATCTGGGCCGCATCGAATGGATTGTTCTCAAGAACAAATCCATACCTGGCTCTGATGCGTGGGGAGGGGTCAAGTGGGCTTTTGCTTCCAGGGGGCCACAACAGAAGCCGATGGTTGTCCTGAGCTGCCCAGAAAGCGCGTCGCACCTTTGAGTTCCTTCTTCGCAACCTTTAGAGGCTTTTGGTAGCTGTCATCACGCCTCACTACTGACTTTGGCTTCATCTTGGGGTTATCTCCTGTGAGTCGCCTGTGAGCCCAGGGTCAGTAATGCAGAACAAGCTGCGGCCTTCTCATAGAAGATGCAGACCTGGTCAAACAGTCTGGAGAGCCCTAAGCGTTGTCCAAATTCAGGAGCTTTTGCCGCTTTTGTTTGACCACCAATTGTTCGCTAAGGCTATGTGAGACATCAGAATCTCGCCACGAGTTTTTTTCTTGTACTTCAAAAGTCCTGCCTCATCGCCTGCCTCATAGTCCACGGAAGCTACCAGCGCCACGTGGCCACCCTCATCCGCAAAATGCACGTCGGGCGGTTCCCCGTTGGAGGAAACGAAGCCCCGGATACCACTTCAGAACAAAGCAACCGGGTGGTGCAGTCGCCAAAAAAAGAAGCCAACTGGTGGGTTTACCTCATAGTTGCAGAAGTCCTCCACACAGCCCCGATACAGACCCAAGATGGGCCTTTGGCTCCCCTCTTAGTCAGCTATTATCCAGACCGATTTCAATTTGGAGGCTTTCCCCAATCATTGGAAGTCCGCATTTGGAGTTGTCTCCAAATTGGATATGGAACCCCCTCACTGGGTGTCTCCTTTGGTTTCTCAAAAACATCCCCAAACTGAAAACCAATCCTCTAAAAGTGGCACCCCTGACAATTAGACCCAATAACAACAGCAGTTTTAGGGAGGTGTCCTTCTGATCCAGATGGGGGTCAATGTCCATCTTGTCACTGAATAATGTTCAATTCTTTGGAGCCTTTCGAATTCATGGGGATTTCTGAAAACTTCCCACCATTTGTCAGCTTCCCGGAGGTTAGGGGTTGTTTCCCATTGCGCACAACGCAGGAGTGCAAAACCGCAAACCACCAAAACAGCCACCACTGAGAAATTAGGCCATCTCGACCAACCATAGACACCCCCAACCCCATTTGAATGAAAATTGCTTGGCCAAACAAGTTCCACCCCTTTGACGCAACTCTCTTCATCCTTCAAATGCTCCTAAGCAACCTCTTCGAAAAATCCCCACGCGAGCCTTTCATACCCTTTGAAGCAACGAAGCGACCCGTATGGTTTCTGATCTTCCGATTGCCAGTCCGTTCGCAACAAACAACCGGCCATCCGGCCGCCTCCAGCACCGTGTGCGTGCGCCCAGTGCCGGCCAACCTCGCACGCTCGGATCTCATGGGCGAGCCATTAGAAAAAGCGGAAGCAATCATTACAACACGCGAATGAGGTGCTTAGGGGCATGCACAAATACAAACACCTGCTATATATATATATATGTGCACTCGGTTGTCAACCATTGCTTCAACAGCTCAGGCATTCCATTTTGCTCATGCCCGACAAAGGCATATTATGTCACCATGCGCTGTCGCCCCACCAGCTCCTTGGCTAATGGGGCAACCGCTTGTGGCAAAAAATGTTCCACCATGAGGATGCCCCAGTAGCTCTGTAGTCACTGGAGCAACCACAGGTGGCAACTGCTTAGGCTACCCTTCCACGCGTTCCTTGCTGGCTCACAGAATGGAACTTCTTTCTGGCAGCAGCTAACTTGGGCTGGGCACCGGGAGGGACTGCTAGTTGGGTAAGCGCTTGCAGGCCAGCATCTAGGTAAATTCGGCAAGTTGAAATGCTCTGCCAACGACCCTTGGAGACAAGAACGTCCAAGGTTGCACCCTGCTGATAAGCGCTAGTAGCCCCACCACGGCGCAAACTGTAAGGGCGCAGGGCCAAGTTGTCAATTTGCAAATCTGCCAGCAATGAGTTCCACAGGTTTCGAAACTGGTGGTTTGACATCTGCGCTAAAGTATCACCAGCTTGCAAATTGCTGCAAAGTTGTCTCAACGCCAAAATGCACAACTTCTCAGTGGATTCCACCCTTTGGTTCGCGCTTCACCCCCTTTGACGAAGGAATAAACACGACCACACTAGATCCGGCGAAAGCCACATCTTTCACCTTGATGTTCAGCAGTTCGCCAGTGCGAAGGAATAAGGCAAAGCCAGCCACGAGAAGCCAACCAAAACGCACCTGATTCCACAAACAAGCCTGACCAGCACAACTTAGGAGCAGCTCAGGGTTCAGTGGGGCTGCACGACAAGGGGCTTCAACTTGGTCCAGACTTTCACCAGTCCATGACCATGGCAAACGACGTTTTGCTTGTGGCCGAAAAAACTGTATTGCAGCCAGCGCGTAGGAAGCAGCTGGTTTCACTTCGCCTGAGTCCCACAGCATCTCAATGAACTCGGCGACTTGATCATCAAACTGCTCCCAACAGCTGACAGAAAAATTGCTTCTCAAATGCTGAAACTTGCAAAAACGGTGAAACATCTCTTCATATCTCTTGCGGGTTTTGTCTTGCACGACCAAACTGCTTAGCGCTCCAATCTCTCTCCTCTGCACTTTGCGTTGCTCTTTAGTGGCCCCTGGCAGCAATTCAACCTTCCGCTTTCTTTGGCTCATAACGGCGAGATGGTTCATCAGCCGGATTCAAATCCGACTCCAGCCATGCCCAAATAGGGAAAATCTGCACTTGCAACGCTGCGTACTTCCTGAGGATTTTGCTCAAACGATTGGAGCTGCTTCGTCCTTTGGTTGCCACTGCCAGGGCAACCTGACTGTCGGAGAGATGGAGAGCTCGCTTTCGATGGAATGATTTTCGCCTCAACCGCCGTGCCAATGCATGCACCAGCGCGCGTAGCTCGAGGATGTTGATATGCTCCTCTCTTTCAAAGGGGTACGAATGTGCGACTCTCCACACCCGTCTGTCAGGATTTATGGTCGCTCGAGGGAAACTGTCAGGCCTGTACAAAGTGCTGATATCCAGCCTCTCTTGGCGTCTGATGAAGGCACGCAGTTCTTCCATCCACAAGGATCCGAAGACGCTCTCGCCCTCGTCCTCCTCTGCGTGGGCCGCGCTTTCTCCTTCGGACTTCTCACTCTCTTCATCTGGATGTTCCTCCAGCTTGACTCTTTGGAGCGACTGGTATAAATCCCACTGGATTCTTTCTGCTCCAAAATAGGGCTTCTTGCCCATAGAGCAGAGCACATGGTCCAAAAGGCAAGCAACAGCTGCAGTGTGGAAGCTGTTGCCAAGGGCTGCGCACCGCAGGTCTTCCTCCGCTCTGCGCTCACCATCATTCCCTGGCCGTTTTTTACTCAAGGCTTTGGTAAACCCTTGGGGGAAACGCATCAGAATTTCCCTTTCGTCCGCCAGCAGTGGCCGAAGCTGCCCGCCACCGCCCTTCACCATGTACTCGTTGAACTGATCATCTTGCCGGTTGCTTCCTTGGAATTGCCCTGGTAAAGGTAGGAAATTTGAGTCCAATGTCTTTTTCTCCTTCAGGCCACCGACTTCCAGGCTCAAGGACAACTTTCAAGTCCTCCACGTCGGCCACATACGTCACCACATCGTACAAATTCTTTTCGACCCGCTGGGATTGGGTGCAAGGGCTCCTCTGATAGCCAGAAAAGCCGCCTGCTGGGAATCCACAAGGACTGGCCTCATCTTGAGGGCTTCACTCATCCTGCGGATGTCCCCCTTGTCAGCCACCACATTTTCAAGCAACAGCAGGGCCCAAAGACCTTTTTCTTCTGCCATGGCTTGAACCATCTCAAACATTCGCACCTCCAGGTGCGTTCTTTTACTGGATAAGCGGGAGAGCCCCTGGCTTTTACGATGGCCTTTGCCAACGCCTTCTCATCAAAGGCTCTGATGTACCTCATCACTGCCGGGAAATTTTCTCCGCAGCACCACCACAGAATGTGACACAGCCGCTACCACTCCTCCTTCCAGCTGGTTTTTTGCCTCCTCCTTTCCTGATCTGCTTGGTCTCGAAGCATAACAGGCGCCACCCCGGCGGTCTCGCAGGCATCGCTGGCTGTCACTATGGGGCCCACCTCCGCCCTCAGGTCGAACTGCATCATCGGGAGCAGGCATTCCAGGAGAAGCATCCCTTGTAACCTCAGGCTCGCGAGCAATGACAGTGATCAGCTCCTGCAACACTGAAAACCGGCATCGCCTGAAGTGCAGAATGTGCACACTCTTTCCTGCATAGATCTGCAGCTCTTTGCGAGTTACTTGCCCTTTCTGCCGGAGGTCAAGGCTCCTCTGCATAGTTGTCCTCAAAATGCCTCCTTGGCCATCAATCAATGACCCCAACCTTTCTGCTTGCTTGCAGCGTTCCAGAGCTTTGTCCTTGTTGGTTGGGATGCCCCACCATTGATAAGCACTCCGCAGCCGGAGCTGCTCATCCGCGGGCCGTCCCACAAGATCTGTTGCTGCCGCCTCTGCAACTTTTTCCAAAATGGTCGTGTCATCAAGGTAAATCGACCAACAAGAAAAGCTCCTCAACTTCAGGGAACTCGGCGTTTTGCTTGATCTCGCATTTTTCAAGCCCAGCTCCTCCTCTGACTTGGCTCCGGAGCGCTATCTCTCTGTGAGCTGCTTGCATCAGCCCAACCGCCGAATGCCAGCCCATGGGCAGCACTGTAAGGCCAATGTGAACAAGGCCATCCCCCTGCTGACCGAACACAGCTGCTACCATAAAATCACTCCAGGCATGAGGAAGTCGAAACAAGTAAAAAGCAGAAGTCAAGTCCTCGCCTGACACCAGAAGCGTTTGATTTTGTTCCACCACCAGCCGCTGGAACGACGCGGCCCCTGTCAAGGTAGACGTGTCACCTTCCAGTTGCGTCATCAACCAGTTCGTAGCTCGGAGGTCGACAATGAAACGTAGGATCGGGAGACCCGACTCTGTCTTCTTACCTTGCTTCTCCACTCCGAAGGCGCCATTGAGGACATTGACACCTCCAGCGCGTGGGCAGCTGTCAACAACGCGAACTAGACCTCGATCTAGTAGTGCTGCCGCAATCTTTGCCCATTCTTCATCATTACACTGAACACGCCGCCGGGGGCAAGCGCCCAGCAGCTCTTCCTTCACCAAGCTGGCCGGATCTTGCAGAGTCTCTGCTTCTCTCACTGGCTCAAGCTCACTTTCCTCACCAAACGGGAGTTCCCGCGACGAGCTTCTTCTTGGCCCGTCTCTCCTTTTCCACCACCCTTCTTCTGCTTCTTTAGCCACCATGGGCTCCACGCTCCCTTCTTCTGATCTCCAGCGGCTCTTCCTGATTTCTCCACATCTACCTGCTTCACGGGCACCTCTCTCAAAGCACCTTTCCTTGGCTGGCCTTCTTTCTCGCGCCTCTGCAACTCCACCTCTTTGAAAGTCACTCTTTTCTTCGCGCCTTCTTTTCCGTCGCGTTCCTCTTTTCTGCTCTCGCTTCTTTTTGGCTGGCTCGCGGGCTTCTCCGCGATGGGAGCAAGCCCGCTGCCAAACCCCTATTTACCTCGGCTCGCCTTCATCAAAGCTTCCTTCAGCTTCACATTCCTCAACTCCAGTCGGGTCGCTGCCTCGCGCTCGTCCTCTCTTGTCAGGGAGGCCGCCGTGGGCGGGATGATCTCCAAATGCCGCGCGGCCGCCCACGTGCCCTTGTTCAGGCTGGCCTCGATCACCTTCATGCGTTGGATCAACACATCGAGGCAGTGAGCGGCCTTTCCAGCAAGCAGCTTGGCCGGAGGGTGAGCTGCACACCACTTGGCTGACGTAAGCCAGCACCTTTTGGCCACCCCACTTTCGAGGGTCCAGGCCCTGTTCTTCTCGGTCTGCCAGGTAGCGGCTCATTTCGTCCAGGGCGCAACGTGCCAGGACTCTGGGCTTCTTTTGAGCAACTCGCCAAAAATCCCCTCCCCGAGCTGAGGAGTTGCTGTCCTCTGATGAACTTTCTGCTGAAGCGCCGCTCTCACGTTTGCCTCGCCTTTTCTTCTTTTTCTTCCTTGGCATCTCTGCTTGGAGCTCCTCCTGCACGCCTGCAGCCGACTCGCGCCTCGCTTTCATCTTGGCAACCACGTACTCCTCCAAACTCTCATGCTTCCTCTTTCCCTTTGTGGATGTCACACGCGGGTCGGCCACTTCACTGGCAGCTTCATGACTCCCCACTTTGGCCAGCGCCTCATCTAAGCCTGTGTCACCGGGAGCCGCTCGCTTGAGCTCTCTCACTGCTTCCGCCAGGGCTGTCATTCCCTGCTCGACGCCCAAGGCTCTCATAAAGCCCTTCTCCACCATCACCCGGGGAGTGAGAAAACGCCAGTGATCAACATGGATCAAGGCTCGCCGATCACCATGCGCTAGCCTTTCTCGGCAGCGCCTTTGATTGCCGCTGCATAGGTGGTACACGGCTCCAGTCCTGTGCAGATCAGTGTCCACGTAACATTGGTAGTACCCATCAGAGAAGGGGCCGTGGCTTGCACAGAAAAGGTCTTTGGTCCTTCCTTTCCCAGCTTTGCAGCTGTAGCACTCCATGCCCTTGAGGACCTTCAGCTTTGCAGCTGTAGCACTCCATGCCCTTGAGGACCTCCTTCATCATCATAGCACTGGTATTCCGTCGAGGCTCTCTCTCCCCAGATCCGCAGCCACAACCCACCCCACTTCGGAGGCTGGGCGGGCCAACCGCAAGGCCAAAGAGACTTGATCCGGGTTCAGACCCAGATGCTTCCCCTTTGGTGAAGCTCCTCCATCTGTCCCTGGCCAATGCGGCAGCCTGAATCAGCTCTTTAGCTGCACAGGCTGGGCAGTGGCTGCTTACCAAAAACAGTGGCTCCGCACCCACTGTTAAACCATTGCTTCAACCCTCATCTGTGAGCCGACACTTTACGCAAGTGTCTTCCTCGTGCATATGTCTCACTTCCTGATTGATTCATATATATATATATATATATATATATATTCATGTATATATATATATATATATATTCACATGTATTATATATATATATATGTATATATTCATGTATGTATATATATATATATATATATGTATTCGTATATTTGTATATAGCACTTGACATACATGTTCACAAATGGTTGTATATACACAATTAGACAAATGTGTGATTGTGCATATACACCTATGATGGAAAGAGGACCAACAGTAGGCAGCTGCACAGGGAGAAGCAAAGCCTGGGATCATGGTTGGCCATGTCGAAGCCAGGAACCAGCAGACGGAGGTGCTGCTTGGTTTCCGGCAAAGCCTGTCCTCGCTTGGCATCCGACCAGCAAAGGGGTCTTTTTTACATGCAAACATAAGATCTCAGAACCTTCCTCAAATTGGCCCACACAGGTCCAATTCCACAAGTCTTCCCCAAAAGTTCAAGTTTCGCCAAAAGCGATTGAATTGGTCGTACACACTGTCATCTGCAAGCCAACAACCAAGACCACAGCAACCCGGATCCCCCAGCTGCATGTTGGCTTTTTGATTCTTTGATCTCGTTGTCCTGCTGTCTCCAAGAGCTCTCGAGAGAAGTCCACACAGCGGCTCCACAGCACCTGTCGAGTGCCGTAGGGGGGTTGAGGCTTTTCCAAAATAATAGAAACATGTGATCCTTTTGCTATGCCTACTTGGTCATGGCCAAATCATGGTTTACAAGCAATTGAGAAAGGGTTTCTTAAGTTTAGCTGGCACACACCGATGAGTACGCACAGCAATACTCTTCCCAAAATATGCTGGACCCCGTGTTTGGACGGCGATTCAGGGAAAACCCTGTCCGTTTTAGGGTCCACGTTGCACACTTCCTCAAGAACTTATGCCCTATGACAAGTTCACGGCCCCAGTTCCATCTTCGAAAACAATCGGATTATGAATCTGCAGGCCTTGGATAAGCTCAGGATCCATCCAAGAAGGGGTCGATCTTAATTTCCAACATGGTTGTGCTTTTGAGGCTGTACCCTTTTCGGGGCTGCTTTACTGGGACTCAAACTCCAGGTCAATTTCAAAGGCTGGCAAAGAGCAAAGCGCAACCGGCACCGACTTGGCCCAGAGGTAACTCTCGAAGTCCACGCCACGCTCCTGGCGGAATTCCATCCATTCGGCCCCCCTTTGGCGAATCAAACCTCGTGACGTGACTCATTCATGTGGGCAGTGACATCCAGAACGGAGTACTTCTTTCATTCAAGTTCTTCCACAGGCTTGCTGGGAATCTTCAAACGCCCAACCCGAAGGGAAAGAGCGCATTGGGGACAATGGCAACCCAACCCAGGTTGCTCATCCCCCGTCTCTTCATAGGTATCAACGGATTGTTTGGACATGTTGTAGCCACAAAAAAAAACTGATTGGGTTCCGCAGGAGAAAGTGTTGTGAAGGGATCGGACACCTGGGTTTTGTGGTTGGTATTTGGGGAGGCCCCCACCTTTTCGTCCTCCCCAAAAGCAACAATGGGACATCCAACGATATCGCCAGTTGCTCACTTGATGCGGTCAAGCTCGGATTCCCGAACAACAGAGCATGAAGAAGTGGATATGTCTTTTTGGGGGTACCCTTGGTGAGGTTGCTTCAAAAAGAGACTGAGGCAGGTCCCTCTGAAAAAGGTCGTTTTACAACTCCGAGCTAGGAGGCCAGCAGGGGCTGTTTTCTTACGTTCAAGAGCTCCCGCAGTGTCACCTATTAGACCCAGACGGCCTTTTTGTCTTTTTGCGCTAAGCTTTCTCACGCAAGTTCATAGACTCACGCGCCTCAGCTTTCTCACTTTGATGGTTCCAAACCATCGTTGTTGCTGAGTGCACTATGGAACAAGCCATGGCCACCATCATCAGCAGCGCGGCAGCGTTCACATTGCGCCCCCCATAGGCTATCATGGCCCTTGCGATCATCGGCGCGATAAAGCGAGCAACACTGATCGAACCGTAGCTCCACGCTTGATATGCTTCCTGTCACTTGCCCAAAGGATCCGAAAGGATCTGGAAAGAAAAGCGCAACCATCTGGAACCACCAGGGAAAACCCAGAAGGCCAAAGTTCGATTGCCTGTGGACAACTGGGCGTTGCTCAAAATAAGATTTGGTCAAAACAAAACATGGCCCCTTTTGGGCTCCTTCATCCAACCAAACGGAGATCGATTTTGGAGTCCTGGCTGCAGTCTGTGTCAGGTATTGCAGCCTTCGATCCCCAGCCCTCAGCGATGCCATTGGACACACTTGAACAGCCATACACGAGAGCGTCTGCCTGGGGGCAAATGTTGCAATGGTTTGCGTTGCTGGTTGAAACGGTTGAAGGGCAATGTAGGGGAGTTCACTTTTTGCTGGTCGAAATGGAAAATGAGGGAAAACGAAAGTGCAAAAAGCTAAAACTTCCGGTGGGGCTCTGTCAAAAGTCCCTCTAAACGCTAGAAGCTGTTACATACAAGTCTAAGAGTATGGCTGGGAACCAAGCTGCTATCATCAAACCCGCCGCTCCCGTGCCAAAGTCAAACAGGAATATCGCTCCCAGCAACGCGATATGGTTGCTCGCGGCAAAAATCACAGACTCTGACACAAGCTTGCGCGACATCAGTGTAGCAGAGAAAGCTGCGAACAACAGACTCGTGAAGGACACTGCAGTCAACACTGCGCCACAGGATTCGGTGGGCCAATCATAAGACACCTCCAGTAACATGATGGCACTTACCTCTATGGAAGCAGTCTGAAAATACCGCAGGAATCCATATCGAATCATTTGCTTTACAATCTCCTGACGCTGCTTTGCGTCCAACTCCTCAACACCCTGCTCTGTCTGCTCTGATTCGATCTCCTCATCCTCACAGGGTTGTACCCACTCCGTGTTCAAACCATGGTTTGAACACCCTACACCCCAATGGGCTGAGGGCGCCAGGGTCCGGTTGGCTACAATTGCCCCCTGCCTCGTTGGGGAGAAGCGCTTTGGGCAAAGCCATGGCGATGTAAATGGTCGCAAGTTGCATGATGATGCACTGCGCGAAGAAGATCCAAGCCATGACAGACACGGGCGCGACTGGCTGGCCTTGTTTCACGCACAGGCTGATGATCGCAAAAACCGCCGGGCCGACCAAAAAGCCCCCGTTTCTGGCGCACTGTGTCCAAACACTCCAATAGCTCCTCTCTCTGTTCGGCGTGATCTTGGCCCACATGACCATCAAGGGGACCAGTGGCAAGGCCTGCATAAAGGAACAAATCTGACCCAGGCAAATAAGAAGCCAAAACACCGCCTGTTTCGTCCCCACACTGCGATCCACCGTGGAACTGGCCACCACAGCTTTCACCAGCAGCACGATGCTGCCAATCACTTGGGCACCAAGGATCAAAGTGCGTGCATTTGCCTGCATTGTTTGCCCAACCCTTGGTTTAAACATGGTTTAAACCACTATTGTTTACACAACATCCTTTTGGTCTCCCTTTAGCCGATTTTGGCCCTGCTGGCCTGATCCCAATTGCTTTCGCTCACCATTCTCTTGCTCACCACTATTGCAATAAAAACAGGAATCATCGAGGAGCTAAGAAAGAAGCCACTCATGGTGGCACTCTGCCCCATGCTTTCCGCGAAATCCAGCGAGATCGGCATAAGCAGCGCTTCCATGACATACCAGTGGAAGAAAAAAAACATAATTGAGATCTGGAATGACATGGTATTTGCATCCTGAGGATTTGTCAGCAGAGGTTTGGTTTTTGCAGCTTCATGAGCCAGCAGGACCAAAAAGGGGAAGATCACGCAGCTCCAAGTGACCGCTGTGAAAGGCACCACCCGGTCTGAGAAGTCGGTCAGCGGAGCAATTTCCGCATTCGCGGCAGTGAGCGCGACTATCATCACGGGTTGCAAGCCGCACCAATTTCGCAGGACGAGGACGGTATGTATGAGCAAGGGGTTCGGTACCTGTGAGCCAGAATGGCTAAAGCCTTCCAAGATGCAGCCTGGCATTCTACGTTAGTGGTTTCGCAAAGGAGGATGGCTGAACAGAATGGAGAATCACATAGGAACAATTTACCAGCGATTAAGATTGCCAAACAGCCTACATCTATGAATAGACAAAATAAACACATTGCCCCGTAATGAGGGTTTCCTGTGAAATGAACATGCCGAACCTAGAAGCTGCATCATGGGCTTTCGGCCGCAAACCCAAGAGGTCGCTGCAACATGTTCCAAAACGGCCTGAGCGCTGCTCAGTCTCCACAACAAGTGCGTCTAAGAAACGGCTTGGATGCGGCAAATCTGTGAATCTATACTAAAAGAGAACTCAAAGAGACTAAGTAAGTCGTAGTCCAAACCTGGCACAGACGCCTACCCAAAACCACATAAAGAATTGACAGGGCAGCAAGCCGCTTGGCAAAATATGATTGGGAAAGCCCCACCGCACGTGATCTACCATTGTGGCTCATATCAAGAAGACCTTATGGCAAAGCAACTTGTCCAAATGAACCCGCCGCGGGCGCGACTCTGACAGCAACTGCTCAGAGGCTTCATCCACCGCCAGAGTGCGGACCAGGTGAGTCACGGTCAAAATATGCGGTGCTGGTATTGAACCTGGGAAAATTGGTGTTCGTCCGCCTTGGTTTTGCAAATCTCATCACATCCTCCATTGACGCCAATTGAATTCAAATCATGGTTGGATCTGTGCAACCCCCAACCATCTTTTCCCGTGTATTCAAACCATGTGAATCAATTTCAGGACGTGACCAGTGCAGACAGTGCAAGTGATCCATTTCCAAAGTCAGGCACTCAAAAAAGAGGGTCCAGCGCCGCCTTGAAAGAGCTTCGAGCGGACCCAAAAAAGAAACTTACCTACCCACCCAGTTGTGGCAGAGGTCGAATCAAGGCCAAGGAATACAATGATTTAATTTTAAAAAAATGTGGCTTTTCCTAGGCTTCTCCAAGGATAGCCCCCCAAACCCTCCATGCATAAAGGAACCGAAAATCCACTCAAAGTAGAACCACCTGCAAAACTTTGCATACTCCATGCGAATACATCCTCCCGCCGCCTCCAGCAATGACAAGCAGTCGCCTTTCGCCTCTCGAAGAACCTCCGAGAAGTCCGACTGCACCTGCGCCCACTGGCCAAGCGGCCATGGGTGACAGGAGAACCTCCTACTTTCAAATGGCTTATATAGGGAAACATAGGGAAACCAAAAAGAAGCCAACCGTCTGAAGAGGTCCCGATTTTCTATGAAATACCCTCATGCGGCATATCACCTTGAATCATGGCCCGGGACGCGCTTAAAAGGATACCGAGTGTGGACATACCCACATCCTTTGCCGGCATCAAACCGGGTCATCGGAGTTTGAAAACCCCGCCCGTCCCACAGACTACGCCAAGAAAAAGAGGGGAAAAAAACAACGGTAGTCCAGCTGCTAACAATCGCCTCATATTTTGTAGCTCAATCCCGGCCCTCTGAAAGGGTCCAACGGGACTCACTTGTGAATGACCCCAAGGCCAAGGCGAACCCCAAAGGAAAAACAAGAAACCTTAAAGGGGAAGCCCCATAAGGGAACCTGAAACGGGAAGCCTTCAAAGGGACACACCTGAAGGAAGGATCCTTATATTAACTGAACATTGCCTTGTCCATGGTGGTTTCCCCTTACTTGGTAAAAAAAGCCATGTTTCAAATTGGCAAAATGTATCTTTTAAGGAGCCCTGTTAAAGGAGAAACCTCAAAAGGGAGATCCTAAAAAGGAAGGGAGACGCCAAAGAAGAAGCCCAAAACGGAAACCGAAAAGGGAATCCCCAAACGGGGAACTCAAAATGGAAATTCATACTGCAAACCCAAGAGCTGAAGCCCTGAAAAACAGGAAAACGCAAAGGGAAACACAAACAAGAGAAACACCAAAAAGGGTCAGACATGCGCCTGTTTCTTGAGTCGCCGTGCGGTACTCTCCAGCTCCGGCTCTTGCAGCAATCCTAGCTCATCCTGGAGCGAATCTCTTTTGGATGCAAACAACTGCTCATCTCCGACACTAGCGCCTCTTTGTCAACCATGTGAGACCATGTGCGCATCTGCCATGGGTGAGCCGCCATGTTCTCAAAAAGTCAATCGAAATAGCGTGCGCATGACCCATGAAACTGCGCGCAGCGAGCTCGTTTTTGTGGCACATTGAAAGCTACCTCGAAAGCTACCTCGGTCTCCACGCTTGAGGCGCGCACGGGTTTGGAACGGGATGGGAACGGGCTGGGGCCCGGGCCCATTGGCGCGGACGCGCGCGCTTTTCCCGCGATCCCCTTTTCTCGCGACGCTTTTGCGCAGACCCAGGCGCAGCTTGGGCGACAGCTGGCGTTTCGCGAGGCGCGGCGCAGACTCGTTCTAGGCGCAGCGCTTTCGCACGGTCAGGGACAGCGGTACACATCACTGGCGCGCGTTTTTGTGCAATGTCAACCACAAAGTTCGTGGCAGGCGTAGCGCTTTCGCAAGGTCAGGTACAGATGTCGAGGCAGCGCTTTTGCAAGGGTCTGGTGCATATTTGGTGGCAAACGCAGCAGAAAGCCACGAGAGAAAGCAATAAGACACATAGATCGAGAGAAGGGACAGATAGATAGAAAGGATAGACGGAGACATAGCTAGATAGGTAGATCATACTTAGACAGGCAGATAGTGAGATTAAACAGGCAAAGAGATAGGTAGATAGAAAGCCAAACAGACAGATAGAAAGCTAGGAAAGAAAGCAAAATAAACAGAAAGGATAGGTACATGGTGGTTAGCTGGGTAGATAGATAGATAGATAGATAGATAGATAGAAGAGAAAGGACAAAATTGGTAAATAGAAGGTAGATAGACAGCTAGATAGCTGCTTGATGGCTGGATAGTGAGACAGCGGCAGAGAGATAGAGCGTATAGAAGTATAGAAATAGAGCGATAGAGAGATAGAGAGACACGGAGCTAGAGAGATGATAGGTGGATAAATAGCTAGAGAGACACGTGGCAAGATAAATTGCTACATATATAGATAGATAGGTTAGACAGATTAGATAGATAGATGGATAGATAGATAGATAGGTAGACAGATAGATAGATCGATAGATCGATAGGTCGATAGATAGATCGATAGAGAGAGAGAGAGAGAGAGAGAGAGAGAGAGAGAGAGAGAGAGAGAGAGAGAGCGAGAGCGAGAGCGAGAGCGAGAGCGAGAGCGAGAGCGAGAGCGAGAGCGAGAGCGAGAGCGAGAGCGAGAGCGAGAGCGAGAGCGAGAGCGAGAGCGAGAGCGAGAGCGAGAGCGAGAGCGAGAGCGAGAGCGAGAGCGATAGATAGATAGATAAATAGATAGATAGATAAATAGATAGATAAATAGATAGACAGAGAAAACGGTCAAAAGACGAGGGACGAGAAAGAGAAAGAGAAAAGAAACAAAGAAAGACAGAAGGAAAGAGAAAGAGAAGAGACGCAGAAAGAAGAGAAAGAGAAGGCAAAAGAGCAAGACAAGCAGAAAGAAATAAAGAAAAAGAGTTCGAGAAGGAGAAGCGCAGCTCCTATTTTTAGATTCTGCCAAGGGGCATTGCTGCTCTTCTAGGAATATGAAGGACCCTCCTTGTGGTGCGGACAGAGTCTGATCTACAGGTAAAGTTGACTTAACACTCACTCCAGGCCAGTCAACCCCATACACGTGCCCCCCTTCTACACTTCCTTTGAGGGTGGACCCGACTCAGAGTCAAACACTCCTAGTCTCTTGTCACCGGCTACTCTCCTGAAATGCCACGACAAAACGGCACGCGTGCCAAATAATTAGGGCGCGCGACATTGAACTTGCTCTGGTAAGCTTCAACAATCTCCTGCATGGCCAACCTTCAGGGCAGGGTTTTGTAGCCTCCGAATTTGACCATAACCAAGTCGGTGGCCTCAGTAAAGAACATTTGCATCATGCGTAGCCAGCGAGGACCTCGTTCCTTGAGATCGCAAAAGACCTCACATTTCGTATCACACACTGTCGTACACCATTCCGCAATCAGCCCGCCCTCTCAGCTCCTCCGACCAGTGGGGGAGCATGTCAAAGCTTTTTGGGAGACATCGAAGGTGCTCCGCGTTCCAGCCTGCAAGAGAGAGAGAGAGAGAGAGAGAGAGAGAGAGAGAGAGAGTCGTGCCCAGACCAAAGACTGCACGTGGCCAAAGATGATCACAGCAAAAATTCTTCCCAAGAGCGCTAGCGAAAGGTCCTTTGGAGCGAAGTGGCAACGTTTTCAATGTCTTCAACAGCGCCAATCTCCACGTTTCAGATCACCAACGTTTCAACTGTCAAGGACGCAACCATTCCCACGATTCAAGCTTCCAGTGTCTCAACACTCCATAGCTGTGAAAGTTTGCACGCGTCAAGACTGCAACCCTTTGAAGCCTCAAGGTCACGCGCGGCAACGTTTTCACGGATGAATGGTTCAACGTCTCAAACCTGCAACGTTTCCACTGTCAAGGACACAAGCGTTTCAACGTCCCAAGCTTCAAGTGTCTCAACAATCCATGTGTGTGAAACTTTTCACGTGTCAAGACAGTAACCCTTCAAAATTCCATGGTTGCTGCGCGCTGCAGTTGTCTTACGGCTCGACGCTTCAACAGTGCAATTTGCCAACGTCCCAATGGCAAAACGCTGCTGGTTACACAGCTGACTTACGCAGCGTGACTTACACAGCCTGACACACGCAGCCTAGCTTACGCAGCGTGACTTACTCAAACTGACTTACGCAGCCTTGCTTACGCAGCGTGCCTTACACAGCGTGGCTTACACAGCGTGACTTACGCAGCCTGAATTACGCAGCCTGACATACGCAGCGTGACTTACGCAGCCTAGCTTACGCAGCCTGAGATACGCAGCCTAACTTACACAAGCTTACCCAGCCGAAGCTCGCAGCCTTAAACTCTATCTTCTTTCTCAGCCGGGGGTGGGACTGGCGGGCGCTGTGCACGTCGGAGCGCTCTTGCTGCGGCGCTGTGCAGATTTTCTACGTCGCGGATGAATTCTCTGTCGACCTCTTTGCCAAGTTTGTTTGGCACAGACCTTTTCGGAGGCTTGGTCCAGCCTGAGCCAGACAAGATCAGGAGGCTTTCGGCTTTTCAGGGGAAACATTGCCACAATTGAGGGCCCCAAAACAGTCACAAGATCCTGAGTTACGAAAAGGTTTTGCTATAATACAGGGTACTGTTGGTAAAGGAGGTGTAAAACCACTTTCGCTTGCGTGTTTCAGCTAGAGCGTGAGAGCTTCAGTTCAACGTGCGCGGACACCGCGTCGGCCTGGCCCTCAGCACTTTGCTTTGGCCTACTTTGTGAAGGTCGGCCATGCTGAAATTGCTGTGGCGCTTTTCCGCTCTGGAACTAGGCTGTCTGCAGCGCACGCATCATCACGTGAGGAGCAGCAATGTGGATCCACTCTGTAAGTCCACGAACAAGAACGCTCGACGATGAGCTAGCCGCGCGAAGCTGCCCGAGGCAATCGAGCAGCTTTTTCGTAGGCATGGCGTTTCGCAGGCCAGCATATGAACGGCGCACTGAGACGTTTTCTGTCTATGTTGCTGAAGTGGCTGGCGTCGCCGGCAAGCTCCCACTGGCTGCGCGCGCCCCTTTGGGCAGCGCGCAAAATCGCGAAGCCTGATAGACGTGAGCGCCTCCACTCGTTAGCCGAAGAACATGTCATGTGCGCGAGGCCAACTTGTTGCGAATATTTCTTTGAGTTGAGTATTTCTGCTCGTCGCTCAAGCTTTGCATCCTGTAACTTGCGCCTTGGTTTGCCTGTGGCTCAAGGCGCTTGTGGCCGTCCCTGTGCGTTGAGTTCTTCAGAGTTGCACTGCGCAGCTCGGACCTCGCATCCCTGCAGCAGCCCTTTCCTCGGCAATTTCTCCAGAGTGCAGCCATGCTTGTGCATTGATTTCTCCAGAGAGGCATTGCGCATCTCCAACCTTGCAGCAGCATTGAACACACATCCTGCAGCAGCGCAGTTAGACTGCAGCAAACGTCACTGTTGCGCGCCCATGAAAGGCTCGGGAAAGCTTGAGATCCCTCCTTTTGGTTGAATAGCAAGTCTTTTCACGAGAGAGAGTCCGGAGTGTTTCAGCAGAAGCTGGCGTTTGAGCACACTATGTTTGGGGTAGTCTTAAAGGGACACTTGAAGGACGTGACGCCACCCAATCTAATCCCCTAGAACAGCTGTATATTCCAGGGATCGCATGGCATCTCCTCTGGTGCCGCCAGCCAAACCAATCCCGCAAACCACTATGCACATCTTGGATTTAGATGGGATTCGACAGATGGCGCTCTCTGCAGCTGTTCTTTTCCGTGACAGTTTTTACAGAGTGAAGCCATAGTTGTGCGTTGCATGGATGGCAGCGTGTTCTGCCAGGCTGCCGCTGTTGCCGCGTGATTGAAACACGCATCCTTGCAGCAGCTCTTTTCATGCCAGGGCTGCGCACAGGTGAAGCCGCGGTTGTGACTGGTCGAGACGGGCCGAGCTGCTGAGCTTTGCACTTCATCCTTTTTGCTTGGGCAGCCTGCGGCGCAGCGACTGGCGGCTCGCGCAAGCTGTTGATCTTGCACCTGGCACATCGCGCTGCACCTGGCGCATCGCGCTGTGGCTGCGCTACCTCAACGGCTCTTACGCGGTCCTGATCTTCCACCTGAGCTCTGATGCATGTGAGTTCCATTTCGTTTGCTGGCAAGTGCCACTCCATGTTGGATGCGTGCATCCGGCGTTTCAAAAACCACAGTTTGCGCGCTTGGAACAAATGCTGCTATGAAGAGTCGCCGTTTGCTGACTGACACTTTGCGCAACGTCTTGCAGTGCCTTTCTCACACTCGCCTTCGGGATAATCGGGGTCTAGTTTTTGTTAAAGTCCACCCCACTCAACCCACTATAACCACCAGCATGTAGGAAACGCCCACTGAGTTCCGGTACTGGCCGTACCAACACCACGACTCTGGGATCCCGTGTATCAGGCCCGCACCCCTTTCGGGGCCCTGCCAATTCCTGAACTGTTGATTGACCTGCCATACAAAGTGAAACACCGGAACATGGCCACGATGTCTGGCATCCGAACATAAATGGCATGCCCAGGCTGCCCAGGTGCGCAAGGCACCAAACCATACGGATTCGGGCCCAAACCCCAAGCCCGAGTTCGTAGGGGCTTCGAGCCTGACTCGCCCCGAGCTTTTTCCAGAAGCAAGTGCAGGGCCATCACATCCTCGTCAGTCGCCAGACTCAGAGTCTGTAGCTCCTGGGGCAAATCCCAAAGCTTGTATGGAAAGGGAAGCCCAGGGTTTGGCTGGTGCGAGACCCAAAGCAAACCACTGACCACATCTAACGCACAAAAAAGTTTGGGGTTCCACAGGTGAAGGCTTTGGTCAATGAAGCCCGTCAGTCGTGGGAAGTCCATTTTGAGCTCTCCGCTTTTGTCGCATGGGGCCCCAACAAATGCTTGGGCTACCTTTGTGTTCCTGAGGCAACCAACAGAACCCGATTGGAGGCTGAGAGTTGGCAACACAGGATCCAACATGGGAGTTGCAGTAACCCCAGCTGACCGACATCGGCGCAAGAACCATGGTTGCCAGAGCATGTTTGAAAATGAGAACGTGCCAGGAGTCTGGCCATCCTTGCCATCCCAATGCCTACTGAAGTCATGTCAGTGCATTTTAGTGTTTCGCTTAGGCCAGAATCCCCAGCTTTGGCGTTATCAGGCAACCTGCCCGCTAGCACCAGCTCTCCTTGTAGTCCTGCCGTGCTCTGACTGCAGACCAACACTTCTCGAGCGGCACCTGCGACAGCCGAGGTCACAATCCAAAGCCGACCTGGAAGGGATCAGCGGATTGGGAAATTCAGGCGTGTCGTGTTGTGTGGGCCCTTCTAATCAGTAAAGGGCCACGCGGCTGAAAACCTCGAAAAGAGAGGCAAAGCCCTTCACCGCCGCCCATCCTTCAGGTACACCTGCCCCTTCTGGAGAGGCTGAAGTGCTCGAAATCCGCGGCCTGGGTGTTCAACACTGACCCGATTGCCATTTCTTCAAATTCAATTAAGCTGGCCCCAAACAGTTCCCGCCTTGGCAAATGAGGGCTTGCCACCTTCTGAAAAAGGTGTCACCCAAAAAAGATGGTGTGCCTTGAATACAGGCAGGCAGGCAACACCTTGTGTGCCTCGTACAAAGTCTACAAAACCCCCTCCAGCTTCCCGCCTGTGGGAAAGTCATAGATCTCCACCAGAGCGTCCGGCCCCAAATCCATCAGCGAAACGGCAGTTCGAGGCCTAACTTCGTTGCCTGGGGGTTGAAAAGATGCCAAACCCATTTTACGGGCCACTTTGTTGTGGAAAAGGCTCCCAAATTCACTCTCAAAGCGAAAGCGGGGGGAGGGGCGTCAACGAATTGGAGCCCAGGGTTAATAAACTCTAGGTTGGGTGTGGTAACTGGGACAACAAAGGCTAGTCCCCTTATGCAGAAGGTTGCAACTTACTTGCTACTGGAGATCAACTACACACTGGCAAAAATATTAGAGATGTGCTTCTAGAGAAACTTCCAAGTAATTCACTGGGTTTGGCTCGACGCTAAACTGCGGAGCCCTGTGCTGCAATGCAAGGGATTCTAAGGACAACCCCAGATAAAACGTGCCCTTCTACGGGAGAGACCTCGGTCTGTACTGCGGCAAAAAAAAATGGTGGGTGAATTGGACGTCCTACTCTGCAAATAGTGCTTGCCCAGATGAGTTCCGCCCTACACTCCAAAAGATACGTCCAACCATTCCGCGAAATCACAAAGAATTGCATCTTCTAAATAAGCAGAAAACCTGATTTCCAACATGGTTGAGATTCGTAGCCTTTGAGCAATCCGAAGCGATCTTTTCCGCGAGCTTGGTCAAGCGAGCCACGAAGAGCCCCTGAAGCGAAGAGGAGCACCCGGCGAGGAATTCGATTGGGGGCGAGTACCCCAGTGACGTGCTGTCAGGCAGGCGTGCCATCTTCAAGTTGGCGCGATTCAAGGGCCATCCATTTCTGGGGTTCCCATGAACAAGATATGCACAGTTGAATGATTACAACCACCAGGCATGTTCGAATTTGTTCCATTGAAGTGCATGGGTCTGTTTTTGGGGCACCCCTGTGTTTACTTGACGTTCATCCTTCTTGAAAATCCCATAGTTTTTCCTCGTTTTGGGTAAAAACCCAGTGTTTTATTTGTTTTGTGAACTCCTCTTGTGTTGCAGGCCTTGACATGAAGTTCCAGGAGGGAATTTTGAAATATCTGTTGCAACGCTGCTTGCACCAACCCAGCCCAACGATAGGTGCTTTTGTTTTCGAAGCCCCCCACCATCCTGGAAACCGTTGGAAGCGGGGCGGCTCTCGCAGAAGATGACTCGAACGGCGCAAAAAAGATCTTAGGGGGGGAGAGGGGGAAAGGCGGGAAGAGATCTTAGGAAGACAAAGCAGGCAAAAGATCTGTAACGGGGGGACGGGGAGGGGAGAAGGGGGGAAAAGATCTTAAGGGGGAAAAGGGGAGGATCTTAGGGCGGGAAAGGGTGGAAACGATCTTAGGGGGGGAAGGGGGGAAACGATCAGGGGGGGAGGGAGGGAAAGATCTTAGGGGGAGAAGGTGGAGGGGCGGAGAAGATCTTAGGGGGTGAAAGGGGGGCAAAGATCTTAAGGGGAGCAGATCTTAGGAGGGCAAACGGGGGAAAGATCCCATTAGGGGGGGGGAGAGGGGGAGAGGATTTGAGGAGGAGAAAGCTTGATGTGGGTTGGAGTACCGTGCACTTAAACGGTGATTTTAGTGTGCGCCAGGCCGCCGCCAGGCCCGGGGTGGCTTCTGACCCACAGCCATATTTGTTTTGCCCTGCCGAGCTTTGAGGGGGGCTTCTTCCTCAGTGAAAGAAGGCAAACTGAACGGCCCGCTTTTTCTCTGGTTTCCATCTTCAAAATAGCCCAAAAGACTTACGAACAAACAAGAACAAATATACATGTGTACAACAGAAAGATATCTATATATAATATCAATCCATACTGTATATATATATAGAGAGAGAGAGGTGTGTGTGTGTGTGTGTTTGTATGCACGATACATATGGACTATGTTGATATAGATTGTTCCTCTCCCTCTCTCTCGGTTTCACTCACCCCCCCGAGAGGCCTGCCGGCTCACACCTCAGGTCCCCGTGGGCGCAAATGGATGGCCACGGGCCCTGCCTGCGAAAGCCACTTGAACGAAAAAGCGCAGAGGAAATGCATGCAAGCAAGATGTAGGTATGTAGATAGGTAGGTATGCATGCATGCAAGTGTATGTATGTATGTATGTATGTATGTATGTATGTATGTATGTATGTATGTATGTATGTATGTATGTATGTATGTATGTATGTATGTATGTATGTATGTATGTATGTATGTATGTATGTATGGATGCATGTATGCATGTATGTATGTATGTATGCATGTATGTATGTATGTATGCATGCATGCATGCATGCATGCATGCATGCATGTATGTATGTATGTATGTATGTATGCATGCATGTATGTATGTATGCATTCCTGCATGTATGTATGCATGTATGTATGTATGTATGCATGTATGCATGTATGCATGCATGTATGCATGCATGCATGTATGCATGCATGCATGCATGCATGCATGCAATGCATGTATGCATGTATGTACGTATGCATCTATGTATGCAGGTAGGTAGGTAGGTAGGTAGGTAGGTGGAGGCGTATTGATATTTGTCCTTGTTTTTTGTCCTATTCGGGCGGGGGACGGGGGTGGGGTGGGGTGGGGTGAGGTGGGGAGGATGTTAACGTTCGCTGACACATCGGCTTGTGCACACAAACACACACTGCCTTGCACACAGGCGCACATGCCGGGGCCCGGGCCTCCGAAGAGCGCGCACACACACACACACAAAACAGAAGAACGCAAGAGCGCAACTGGCACTTGCTTACATCACGCTCAAGCCAGATGTTCTGGCTTCCAGAAGTGAATGTATCCCTAGCTTCCGTGCTTCTCTTGCGGATATGCAATGCTCCCGTGCCTGATGGTTTGATTTGCCTGCAGCCGCTCTGGGGTGTGAACATTGCTCCGCAGAGATTCGTGGCTGAAACAATGCTCTCCTAGCCTTGTTCCTGGTTTCAGCAGTCATTGCTCAAAGACTCTTGCTCCAGTTTGCAAAGAGCTTGGGAGCAGCAGCAAGTTCAGGTGCACAGTGATGGAGCCAAAGCGTGGCCCAAAGTGGTCAAAGATTTGGAAACCAAGAAGTTACTTCTTGGCATGAGAGCCACATCCGCGATGAGTCTTGCAAGCAAGCCTCCCCAACAAAAAAACTGTTGTCCCGTGCGTGCTCGCAGGAACACAGTGCGTTCACAGGTGGTGGCAGTCGGTCGTTAGTTTTTTTGTTCCCGAAGCGTCCAAGCTACGGCAGTGCGTGGCTACTCCAATGGAATTCATGCCTTTGCTTGGGGATCAAACTTACCTCTAAACTAGCAAAAACTACCTGATCGAGCTTGCAGCTACTTTTTGCGAGCAAGCGGCTTAAGCTGCCCAGAGCTCAGAAAGTGGCGAAACACTGCGTGGTTGCACTGCGGTGACTGAAATACCCCAGGTGTTTGTATAAACAAATGACCGTGTAGGTAGGCAGGCAGGCAGGCAGGCAGGCAGGCAGGCAGGCAGGCAGGTACGTGGGTAGGTAGGTAGGTAGGTAGATAGGTAGGTTGGTTGGTTGGTTGGTTGGTTGGTTGGTTGGTTGGTTGGTTGGTTGGTTGGTTGGTTGGTTGGTATATATGTATGCATATGTATTTAACATTTAAAGATGAACCATAGCATACACATGCCTGTACAGCAAGTATTCAAAAAGAAGAAAATATACATGCATCATTTGCAAAGGTATAGACATGTGACTTGATCAAAAGAAACTGAAGAACCGATGGGGGCCTGCAGATTCCCGGTGAGGCCGTAGCTCACCTCCGGCACGGTTTCCCCTCGCCACTCCAGGACAAAGTGCTGCACTACGCGGGCCATAACGACCAAACCTTGCGGAGCTCACGTCTTCATGTGAATGTTTGTAGTATGATGTATATTGTAGTTTCGTTGTGTAAACATGTGTTCATGCCATGACGTGGGTATTGTTCTAAGCATGTGTGTACATGCTCCTTTTTTATGAGAGAAAAGATGTGTATTTATTTCAAAGACTTGGTATGTTTCTATTTGATAAAAACGAGTGTCTTTCTGTGTTTTCGTGGCGTGATAATACGTCAGGGGATGCAAATACCTGGAATTGTGGGTGGCTAGGCGGGAGGGGACTAAAAAACACTTCAGTTGTAATCTTCATGTTTGGGCCCAGAGGGCGCGTCTCTAAGAGCCAGGACGATCGGAACGAAGGAAAGAAATGACTTTGTTTCGCTCAAAGTAAAACTGAGACTTGCCGAAAACACTCCGAGAGACCGGTGTAGTTGGCCAAAGGCATGCCGATACAAATCCGCGAGCCGTGGCCGTACGCTAAGGCGTCCAAGGGCTCATGCTGGATGAGGCCGGAGCTCAACCAGCGAGAGGGGCGATACTCCCGGAGGTTGTCCCCCATACCTGGATGCCGAAGAGATTTCTGGATTGGGTTGCCGCTTTTGGGTTTTTGCCGATGGGCTTCCGTTTTCGAAAGCGGCTCCAAGGCTTTCCAGTGAATTTCTGCAAGTTGTCCAATGAGCTTTGTAGGTTCCCCAGGATAAACCTGGCTTGTAGATTTCTGAGATTCCCCCAAGATGTGATGGTTGGCTACATTGACCACTCCCCCAATCAAACCCCCCATGATTTTCTTAGTTCCCGGGTTGGCAGTAGTAGTGATATTTGCAAAGCCAAAGAAACACTGGCAACCTCTAAAAGGCGATTTTAGCGAGGGGCATACCCAATCTTCGCAAGGCTTGTCAGGCCTAGACAGTGCTGAGTAGCGGAAAGACTAACTTGGCAAAGATAGGTGGCTGTGGGTGAAAAAACTTGAAGCTCTAGGTACATTTTGATTGGCTGGCAATTAGATGTTGATTCACCCAGAAAATGGACCAATGGGATTTGACCCACAGATGAGGGAGAATGTCTGTCATTCCCAAGCTGCATTTCATGGCAGGGTCGTTCCTCAGGATGTGGCGGATTGCAATCCACACGGCCGTGCCTTCTGGTACCACGCGGCCAGCCAGCGTCGCTGGCTCATGCGCTTCCAAAGGCATGTAAACTGACGCCGAGTGGTAGCGCAGCGTCTCCTTCCAAACGGCCTGGACCCAAAGTAAGGTGTCCAAGTCTTTGGCAGAGAGGGCCTCAGGCAGATCTCGTACCTCCTGCGCCACATGCTCTTGTAGCTTGGGGTCTCTGGCAAGATAGTAGAAAACCCAACACAAGACCCTGCTCGTCGTGTCAGCTCCTCCCAGGAAGATTGTGGTGAGGTGGTCGAGGAATTCCTTCTGAGTGAACTTGTCGCCGTCCACCATCTCCTTGAGTTAGTGACAAACACACCAACACCATCGGTTGAGTTTTTTCCCCAACAGCTGAAAGCTTTGGGGTCTCAGCCCAGATAGGCTCCGGGGTGGTCCGGGGCGGCCCTGAGGTGAGGTTCCACGAGGGTTCCACGAGGGGCTCCACCAGGGTTCCACCAGGGTTCCACCAGGGTTCCACCAGGGTTCCACGAGGGTTCCGCGAGGTTCTGCGAGGGCTGCGGGGTGGTGCGCGCACTAAAAAGAGCACCACATGCTGTTGGGGATGTCACCTGAGCTTATTCCAGACATTTGGACAGAAAAGCTCAACTCGAAATACGCTCAAGACGGTGTCAATTCTCGTCCAGCTCAGCAAAAGCAGGCGCCGAAAAGACAGCTGATCCGTCTTTGACCGTCTGAATCCTGAGAACTGAAGGACGCGTGGCTTCTGACAATGACATCTCAACCAGTCCTGCATCTTCCGCGCGATGGTCTTCTGACTGGGGTCCGCCTCCGCTATCAGCTGCTGACACCTCTCGTGCACGCGCTTGGCCGCTGCTGCCCCACCGTCCAGCCGAAGGAAGGGCAGCTTCCAGTAAGGTATCCAGGAATTGATCCGCTTGCGTATCGCAAATCCCAGCACCTTGACGTCATCCAAAATCGTTGCCTTCCGGGTCTCCAAAGCCTTCAGCTCCTTGCCCATGCAGGTCTTGCACATGACGTCCGCCCCAAAGAGCACCAGCAGCTCCGAGAAATCTGCAAAACCCTGTTGAGACATCTCCTGTGACAGCTCCTTCAGAAGTTGCCCCGTGACACTCTCTACGGCAGGAAGGTAACTCTCCGTGTTCTTGACATTGAAGGCGGGGGCAAGTAGCTTTCTCTCGCGCTGCCACTGACGCCCCTCCGAGAACACCAGCCCTGCCAAGATGTCCTTGGCCTTCGACATGGATGAGTTCTGAATCATCTTCCAAGGCCGAAGGGCCAGGATCTGCTGCGCCTGCTCCCACGTGTAGCAAACCACAACGCGAGACCCAAGCTTCATCTCGAAGAAGCCTTCACTGCCGTAGCTTTCCGCCCACTCCTCCAACTTCTCCATGATGTTGCACTGATTGTCCCCAAGCTCGGCCACCGCACTGCCCGGCACCTCCGCGAAGCGCACATGGCGCCGCTCTCTCCGCTCTCTCCGCTCTCTCCACCACCAGGCCACCAGGGCAGCCCCGGCCAGGGCCAGTGCCAAGCCCCGCTGCTGGATCGTGCACAACGTCAGGGCCCCACTCTCCGATTTGGCCATGGCGTTTCGGCAAAGAAGTCCTTTGTTTTCCGCTCTCCTTGGCACTCTACTGTTTTCACGGGCTTGTCAGCCTTGGCGATGTTGAAACTGGATGGCGACGCTTCACAAAGTAACTGAGCCAATGCAAGAAACATGCAACAGACTGCTCAACAAAGATCTGAAGACAGTGAGACAAAACGAATGTCTTGTACAGGCTGTAGCCAGGCGTTGGCGAGAGAGCTTTCCGATGGGTGCCCTTGACGCTCATAGGGAAATGTCAAATGGCCATTGTCAGACCCTCGATCTTTGAGACTTATCTACCCCAGAGGTTAATGGTTTGAAAGGGATGGGCAAATCTTCCATGTTGGGTTGAACAAATAAAGGTCCGCTTAAATCGGGTCCTCAAATGCTTGGTCAAAACGCCGCGAGACGGACCCCATCCACAGACTCTGGGTTTGTGGGCCTAGGATCTCATCAGCTGAACCAGATTCGAATACAAGTCCTTACTGATTCGTTATTCGTTCTGGCTGGTTCTGGTTTGGTCTGGCGATGTTCGCATACATCTGTGCGCAATACTGTGCCTGCACGGGGCCTGGATCATGGAAATTGTCTGCTCCGCACTGCCGGGATGTATTGAAAAGCTGTTGTGCCTTTCGTCCCATTTGGATGAAATAATGCTTGGCCAAGGCCAGCGGAAGTCAGCCATTGCAAATCAAAAGTGAGATAGGCATTCAAAGCGGACCTGCACCGTAAAGGTCCGCAAAAACCTGGACATTGCCGAAGCAGTGGATATCAACCCTCATGTCAAAAGCAGCGGCCAACTCTTAGTGGCTCACAATCGATTTGCGTGTGTCAAAATGGACACACAAAATCCTTCGATTCGGGCGCCAAAGGGAGCCCTTCCCATGGGAGACACCTTGGTGGGTGAATTGGGTGCTCTGCTCAGATAGTGCCTCACGTACGCTTTCCATCCCGGACGAGTTCCTCTTCGCGCTTCGCCCGACACTCCAAAACAACATCCGAACAACTCGCTGACTCACAAGGACTTGCATCTTCTTAATTAGCAGAAAACCTGATATCCTGCATGGTTGAGATTCGTAGCCTTTGAGCAACCCGAAGCGATCTTTTCCGCAAGCTTGTTCAAGCGAGCCACGAAGAGCCCACTCCTGCAATGAGGCGCACCCGGCGAGGAATTCGATTGGGGGCGAGAACCCCAGTGACGCGTTGTCAGGTAGGCGTGCCGGTTTCGCATGAAAAAGACGCATCCATGTGAGTATGAATAAGATGCACAGCTGGATGATTACAATCACCAACCATGCTCGAACTGTTCCATTCAAGTGCATGGGTCTGGTGTTGAAGGTGGAAACCAAGAGCCGTTCAGTTTGCCTGAGGGAGATGCCACCCTCAAAGACAGGCAGGGCTGACGTGCCGGAGGTGACCGGGTCAAAGCGGGCGGAGCTGTACCTGCGACTCTACGGCCTGCAAAGGAACTCCAACGATGTTCAACTAAATCAAGGACTACAAAATTCTTCCAGGCAACCAACAAGGCCTCCCGGGGTGTTCCCCTGATGGATTGAGACAGATGACAACACTGCAACATGGTACGCAGTGGAGGTTGACTTCAGGATAAATTGGCCTCAACCCGGGTCCAAGCTGGAAGTTGTGTAATTTACCACAAATTGCCAGGATTCGGTAGGAGGTAGTTGGTTTGCTCGCTTCATATCTTGTTGGAATCCGCCCGACCAGCGACTGCCCATCTGCAGTTGCTTTGCCCAGTCAATACTGGGCAATTTGTTGCAATGAACAAGGCATGCTGGAACTCTTTCCCCTCTGGCGCACTCTTCACCGTCTCGCTCGGCCTCCAGTAGGGACGGCCTCGTGGTCAAGAACAAATTCAGAAACTTGGAACACTGATTTGGAAACTTGGAATCGGAAACTACACACACGGATTCGGAAACTTGGAGAGCGGTTCCGGAAACTTGGCTTCGGAAACTTGGAGCGAGAATTCGGAAACTTGGAATCGGAAACTTGGAGACCTCGGAACACCTGAGCAGGTGCACTTGAGCGCTGTTCTTAACATTTTGCAAGCAAAATATGCAGTGCTGCGCTGGTGCGCTTAAGCGGATGTTTATATCATGTGGCAAGCAGATACGCAGCGCCGCGAGAGTGCACTGGAGCAAATGCTCTTGTCATTAGGAAAGCAGATACACGGTGCTGCTCGGGTGCATTTGAGCGGGTGTTCTTCTTATTTGGCAAGGAGATGTTGTGCTGCGCGAGTGCATGTGAGTGGGCATTCTTAGAATTTGGAAAGCAAAGATGCAGGGCCGGGCAAGCGCTCTTGAGCCGGTGTTACTCTGCGCTAGGCGTGCGCAATTGAGCGGGTGCACTGCGAGGTAAAATTGAGCGGGTATTCTTATCATTTGGCAAGCAAATATGCAGTGCTGCGCAGGAGCACGTGAGAGGGCGTTCTACGCAGCGCAGCGCGCCGTTGGGCGGGAGTTTATCCTTTGGCAAGGAGATGCACAGCGCTGAAAGAACACGCTTGATTGAGCGGGTTCTCGTCATTGGCAAACAACTGCTGAGCGCGCGGGCGCGCTTGAGCGGGTGTTCCTATCATTTGGCACGCAGATATTCAGCGCTGAGGGCGCGCTTGAGCGGGAGTTCTGATCAATTGGCAAACAGATCAGCGGGTTTTCTTAGCATTTGGCAAACGGATATGCAGCAGTGCCGCACGGGCGCACCTGAGCGGGTGTTGGTATCTTTTTGCAAGGGCAAATGCAGCGCTCCGCGATTGTGCTTCAGCTTGTGTTTTAATCATTTGGCAACCAGATATGCAGCACTTCGCGGGCGCACTTGAGCGAGTGTCCTTATCATGTGGCAAGCAGATATGCTGTGCTGCGCGGGAGCTTTTGAGTGGGCGTTACTCCGCTGGCGCGCTTGAACGCGCGCCCTGATCCCTTGGCGAGCGGCAAATATGCAGTGCTGCGCACGCGCACTTGAGCGGGTGTTCTTATCATTTGGTAACAGATTTGCAGCGCTGCGCAGGTGCACTTGAGCGGGTGCACTTAAGCTGCTCCGGCTCAGGCCTGTCAAGCTTTCCATTTGGGGTAACCAAGTTTCTGAATAGCACCCCAAGTTTCTGAATCGAAGTTTCTGAATCGGAGAAAGTCTGAATCGCGGCAAGTTTCTGGTGTAGGCAATGTTTGGGCCTCTTTCGCGTTGGCGCCCCGAAGTTGACAGTGTCCAACCCGTTGATGGGACAAAATCCTGCATCAGGCGATAGGTGGTTTGTTCCAGTATTTGTTGGGGTTCTGCCTGCCAACAAGTGGAATTTGTCCGTCCATGGTAGGGAGGTGAATTCGTGGAATTGCCTTTCGTCTGGACCCCAAAAAAGTTGCCCTCAAACCCACTCTGAAGCTAGAAAACGCTGGAAGCCGACCGAATGGGTGTTGCTTAACATATGGAAACAAGACCCTGAAAATTCAAGAGACAGGTCCCTGACTTCCCCAACCAAGAGCGTCTGCCCTGCCTGGCGGGGGCACCAGGCCCAGCAGGTTCCCTCGGGTTCGGTGTCGACGTTGTGAACATATCATGGTGGGGCTATCCCTGCGTTAGTTTCCAGCAGTTCATTGCCAAAATCAATAAGGAGGGATACCCTCACCATGAAATGCGCAAATAACCGGGCTCCCCATATTTCCCTCATCACCCCTCTCAAAGCAAACTGGCTTTAACTTGGCAGTGCGATGTTTGAAACCACCAAGGGAAATATCGGGAACCCATCACAGCCTGAAGACTGGCCCCGGCACCTCTGCAGCGGCAGCGGCAGGGCACTCAGGGCCTCCAGGCAGCTGGTGTGAAGCAAAGGAGTTGGGTGCGGTTTCTTTTTTTCTTTGTCGGTGTTCTCGTTTTTTCGGCCGTGGCTCCCATATTTGGAAAGCAGCCAATCCAAAACTACAAGTCCAAGGTGATTTCCCAAAAGTAACTTTCTCACAAAGTCGGGGCCCTGACCGCCGCTTGCTGGTCCAGCCCACACACACCCGGGCAACTGTCTGTTTTGACAGTGAAGTGGCTGTTTGCAAGAGCAGACCTTCAAGAGAAAAGCTGTCATGTATTGGAGCCCCAATTTGCTGGGAACCACGCCCCTCTTTCACGGTATGCCAATTATTGTAATGATGTAGTCTGGAGCCATTGGGAATGCACGCAAAATAGGTACATCACAACAGTCCACGGCAAATCATTCACCCGCAGTAATGAAGAGTAGCAGATGCCTGGTGCCACTGGCACTTTGGCACTTGGGATTGGAATCATTGCATCTCTTTTGTGCTTGGCTCAATACGACAGAAATGCTGCAATAACGGGAAAATGTATGGAAACATGCAACATGTACATGGAAGTCTGGATCCTGTAGATTGTAGGAACAAATGCTTCTTATGCTTAGCTTATGTCACTGTTTACTCAGTACACGGATTGCCTTAGCCGAAGAGGAACTGCCCAGCAGGAATTCAGCTCGGAAGCCCGGCCGCACTTGGCTCCTGCTGCAACAGCGCTTTCACCTCAGCGGGCAGCGCCTTCAGCCTTCTGCGTGCCTCAAAATAACGGTTTCAATGGAAACCTCCAGAAACATGTTTGACCCTCCCCTCAAAATGCAAGACTTTAAGGGACACATTATTGCTATGCCCTTGTGGAATACTTGAACCCCTCCTCAAGCGCAGGCAACAGTCATTGTCCCCACAGCTTCAGAATATCGGGGCGGTCAGCCTTGTCCTTTCCTCATCTGAGGAGGGCACGACATCCTCGTTCTGCCGCTGACATAGAGAGCAGGTCGCATAGACCAGCGTTCCGCCCTGACATCGCCAATGGATTAACTCGAGCCGCGATCTGCCGGGACCAGCTACATCTCAGATTCTCGCTCATTTACAACCGCCCCTTACCAGCCTCCTTGAGCAGCTTGAAGCCGTTGGAAAGCAGCCCGAGCTGAAGTTCAAACAGCCCCTCCTGTCATTTCTGCGACGTCCATGCTTCTCAACTAGAGTCCGCGTTGGCAATGGTCCAAAT